AAAAAAAAAAAAAAAAAAAAGGTGGCAGGTGAATTATACGACTTCTGCACATCCTGATGCGGTAATTAAAACAAAGCAATCCTCAGTTGAAACAATATTAGACAGAATGATCACAATTTCATTAAGGCAACTTAGGAAACACAAACCGTCCTACGAAGCTCGATAGCATTTACTTTAGGGAGAAGGATAATATGTTAAGCACGTGCTTGTGAAGGTTTCTTGGAGTTATTCTTCCGGCGGACCTTGACAAATGCATTTTCCAAATCCTGCAAATATTTCAAGTACTGCAAAACTCAGCCACCCAAAGCAACAATATAACTACCTCCTCGTGACAGTTTTTATATAGCGAGGGAACATGAGAAGTGCTCAAACCAATGGTGCAAGTCATTGACGTTAAAAATAAGATAAAACTTCACCTGAGTATTTTCATTGTCTGGTGTGTCTGAGCTCCAAAGTCCCTCAAAGTTGTAATAAGCTCTTGCCTTCTCATCGACAGCATGAACAATCAGAGTACCTACCAAAATACTCGGTTTACATTTTCTGCCAAAAGGTTCTCATGTGTATTATTAATACATAACATCTATTTGCACCATTGGAAGTGTCTAGAGATTCCTTATTTTTTTATTGCTTAATCACACAGCAGTTATCCTCAATCATTTTCAAACTTTTGTTTTTTATATTTCTGTTTCATAAAATCATGATAGGATGTAATAAAACGAACACACATTCAAAAGAATTACATAGAGATCAAGGGATGTAGCAAAATAAATAGAAGTATCGGGGAAAATAAATAGAAGTATCGGGGAAACCAAAATCATTGGATGGTTAATATCAGGAATAATGTATTGGCATGAAGTTTATTTTCGGAACTACGAAAATCAACCATCTACTTCATGATTCAGCATAAACTCGGACAAATATGCCTGTAATACTCACCCACATCTTTTACGTTCCACTTGCTGCTGCTGCTACAGAAAGAGGCCCTACTGCCAAAGTGAACTAATGAAGACTCAAAACCTTTAACTTGCCTAGAGAAGGCTAATCTTTTTTTCCTCTCTGATATTAGTTTGTTTGCCTATTTTCAAATTGATCACCATATTTACAAACTTATGGACCTACTGCTAAAGTGAACAACTCAGGTAATCAGTACCATTTAACACACCAAGGGAATGCTATAAGTCGGTAAAATTTGGTGATCGTGTTGAAAAATAGGGCACATACTTACGAATACTCTTTTTTGCGGGAAAGCTAGAGAAAGAAAACCCTGTTTGATGTGGCATAGCGCTGCTTCCAGTAGTAGAAGCATATAGGAACGACTTTGCAGCTATACGAGAACACAAAATTTAGTGCTAATCTATTCTGCTGGCTCTATGCACTCATTGTTTTGCATTAGCAACAATACTCACCAAGATATAGAGATCGTGGCTTTTCTTTTGAATAAAATAAATACCCAAACCAAAGACTATAAGGGTTGTATGACATCATAAATCAGCTTGAAATGATAAAAGACCTGCAGTCCCTTTGTACTGGTGATTAAGAAGAAAGTTATTTTGAGCACAAGTCAAAAACGGATCATTCTATATTGGTTCACTGTCAATTTTCAAATTTAACAACTGGAACATAATTCAACACTCACTATTTATGGGATCAACAGATAATACGTATTTGCAAGCTGCACATCCTACTGGGTAAGCACCATGTTTATACACAAACTGGAAACTACAATCACTTAGCTTCATATACATTCTCGCTTCCTCCTGCATAGGCTCCAAAGATTTTTCTATGAAATATAACACATTATTCCTTTCTGTTGGCGCGAGTCCTCACCCAGTAAAAATATATTTCAAGATCAATGATTCTGATAGGTCAAAGTATATGTGCACTTATATACATAATAAAGTATTTTTTTAATGCGTTTTATTTTGTAACTTAGAATTTTCGCCGAATAATTTCTTGGATAGACTTCAGGTGTTTTCATATTTTCATGATTTATTTTCAGCACAATGGAGTATTTAAGATGCGCATTTCAGCCTGGAATCGGGCGCCTTAATATCAAGCCAATTAAGACCCAAAGAGTGACCCACTCATCTTGTTAGTTGGCCCCATAATTTAATTTTGATTAGGACTGCTATTTATTTTCCGATTCAAGGAGGCCCAAAGCGGTTGAGCTCAATTTGGACAAATAATTGATTTCCTGGGAGATGAGACTTGTGTGGCGTGGCTGGAGAATCAAGAAGGAAACCATGATAGCACTCCAATCAGGATATAAGAATTAAGATGCACAATATAAAAGGAGTCTTAGAATGCAACAGACAGCAAAATGGATAAATTGTTGAAGAATTTTTACTCATTTATTTTAATTCTCCATTATTTTAGTTTAGATTAATCTATCCCATGTGAGCTGATATTTGAAACCTAACTTTGATGTATTCAATCTTCTGAGTTTAGCCAAGTAAAGTGAATGCAAAATGGATAAATTGTTGACCTAGTAACAGTATCAATGGAATTATATTCTAGTTAACAATTTACAAATAAAATCTATATTTTGAAAATGTGTTGTGCAGTAATCATTTTGCTGAAATGATCAACATAGATTTAACTTCTGGACACTATTACTTTAAGTGGTAACGAGGTTCATCCATGGCAACATAAAACGATGACCTGATTAAGGTTAGAAAATTATCGGATGAAAATCTATACCAGAGTCTATGACAGCCCATTTCCCTCCTTCTCGACCAACGACAGCGGGTAGTATCATTCTCTTTGCTCCTTTCTGCTTCTCCTTAACCTGCTCATTTGAACAGAACTAATATTCAAAAGTGTCTGTTTTTTCTTGCTTGAGAAGAGTACAAATTAACAAAATTACTAGCTTATCACATGCCATGCACAATAAATCAACACCTAGTGATGAAAAACCTTTACAATGACCAATATATCATATCTAGAGTCATTCACAGTCACATACACACGGAAGTGGGTAAAACGAACCTGCCTTGTAAACGAGGGCTTCACAAATGTTGCGCACGTGCCATGGAGATCGGCCGGTGGCGACGACCATGTAATCGGTGAATTCACACCCACTGGGAGCTGGAATAACTTTCACGTCATCAGCTAAGACGTCGTTGAGAATTTTCTGAACTTCCTCCAAACTCAGGAGCTCTTTCTTCTTCTTCTCGATGCCGTCGGAATTTAGGGGGAACGAAGATAAGCAGCGAGTGAAGGTCGAAGAAGAATAAGGAGAAGAAGGGGCGAGGTTTTTCCAGTGCTTAGTGACGGTGAAAGATGAAGAAGAAGACAAAAATCGAACTCGGAAAGCTGACAGCATGATGATGTCCCCGATGAACGCCGCCCGTTGCCAATCGGTATTTCCTAGGGTTTGCTGGTAAAAATAGGCTGAAATTTTTGGGGGAAATTGGCCATATGACTATCAAAACCACGATTTATCCAAATTGACCCACAAAATCATACTATCATATAAATCGAAAGGATAATGTTTCATCGGTGGTCACATGTAATGTCCATTGTTTATGTGGTATGCACACATTGGTGAGGTTAATATATTAAAAAAATACCTTACCAATGGGTGCACCCACATAAGGGTAGGCATATTAACATGTGTGAACTGTGGGGTCGTTTACTTTGTAGGATGGGATAAGAAAAATTAATCAAGACAATGGAATTTGCATAAATGAATCCCTCATTTACTTTTATGGATTAACTGATATGATATACAGGACAAAGACAAGATTGCCCTTCCTCAATAATCGATTCGTTCCTTCTTCCAATACTCAACCGAAGAAATATTTTTTGCCCTAAATCTGTACCAAAGCGCCTCCATCCTTCTCCCGACGGCAGTGCATCGCATATCTTCACTCCCGACGGCAGTGCAGGGCATATCCTTCTCCCGACGAGAAGCCACGAGTTCTCCTTCTCCCCCGAGAATATAACCGACGGCAGGTACGACCATTTTCCAGTTTGCATCTCCAATTTTTGCCTTTTCTTCGTGAAATTGAACCGACTCGTTTGTTATTAATTTTCACAAATTTCCTTGTTATTAATTCTCACACATTTGATTGATTAAAGAGACAAATTACATATAATAGGTCACGGGCAGTAGCAATTTTTTTCTTTTTTGGCCCAAAATCAATGTTTGCGTTATATATAGATAGAGAAAATTGTGCATTTCTCTGGGTCGTGCGTGTGAGAGAGAGCGAATTATGGGTAGCCATTGATTTTTGTTCTCTTGTGCAAAGCCACAATCTTTTTGTGAGTTTATTACGGGTTAATAAACTCACACCAGCCATTTCAGTTCATACGCTGGTAAAGCAATTTTCTACCTCCCTCTTTCCCTCTTGATTTTGTCTATGTATAACTATATCCCACGTTGTTTGTCACATTCTTCTAGTTTGAGTTCTGTATTTATGAGTTTATTGTTGTTATTCAACCCCCCACTCACTGCATATAAGAATTTATATTGTGTGTCCCATGATTTGGTGAAGTTTTGTTTTCTTGTTATTAATGGGTTCTGTATTTCTGTGTTTTGTATATTGTCATGTATTGTCATGTATATTGTGTGTCCATGATTTGGGTTCTGTATTTATGGGTTCTGTATATTTGTCATCATGGGCTTTGATTATGTTGTTCTTGTTACCCTGATTAGAATGACTCATTCGTCATTAATTTTGCACACTTTCAGACAAGCAAGATGTCAAGTACTTCTCACACGAGTTCAAGCAATCGATATAGTAGTCCGTTTCAGGTTACGCTATGTAATTGTGGCGACGCAGCCGATGTGTTCACATCAATGACGAGTGACAGCCCAGCTCGAAGGTTCTGCAAATGTCCTCGCCCAAAGGTTAAATTTTTATCCCACTACCCTTTACAGTTGTTCGAGTCCAGCAAATCTTTTGGCAGAATACTTCGGGTGGCAGATTTTACGAATGTGTTTGTATAATTATTTAGCTTTGTTGTTATGTGCAGTCCAAATTGTAGTTGAGTAGTTATGCCTAAGGTTATTTTTAGTTGAGTAGTTATGCCTAAGGTTATTTGAGTTTGAAGTTGATTAGTTCTTGTGCATCTGTGTTATTCGTGTTCTTTCTGTTGGTTATGCAGTTATGCTTACTGCTATTTGAGTTTGAAGTTGATTAGTTCTTGTGCATCTGTGTTATTTGTGTTCTTTCTGTTGGTTATGCAGTTATGCTGCTATTTGAGTTTGAAGTTGATTAGTTCTTGTGCATCTGTGTTATTTGTGTTCTTTCTGTTGGTTATGCAGTTATGCTTACTGCTATTTGAGTTTTAAATTTAAGGGTCGTTTACTTTGGAGAAATGGAAGGTTTATGAACCTTTGTTGGTTTTATTTGAGTTTTAAGTTTAGTAGTTTTCATTGAGGAGGTTCATGAACCTTTGTTGGTTGCATATGGTTGTGTTGGTTATGTAGTGTTTTCTTTTGTTAACATGTATATACATGAAGTTTGATCTCTGAATTATTTTGATTTTTTCGTAGTTCAGAGATGCTGAAAAGTCTTGTAACTTGTTTGTATGGATTGAGCCCGAGTTGCCGCCGTTCCAAAAGGCTTGTTTTAACAAGCTTAAGGTTGAAAAAGACCGGTTGCAGGAGCAAGTATTGTGCAAAAATGTAATGGAGAAATTGCTATCGAAGCGGCTAGACTTAAAAGCTTCAGAGAAAAAAGCGTTGGAAAATGAGAATAATGTGTAGGGCAACAAATTGGAGATTGAAGAGAAAAAAAATGTAGAACTGCAACTGAGCCTTGATGATGTTGTCCGTAAAGCTCGCAATTTGGAGAAGAAGCTTAAATATATGAAATCTGCATTTTGGTGCATTGTTTTCTTTCTTATTACTCTTTTTTTTAAGTAAGGTTGGGTAGAATAAACTATGATGATGTTCTCAAGGCCGTCAACTTATTTTGTGTGTAATAATTGATCTTTTGTAAACCAACTTTGTACTGTTGTATTGTATTAATGATGGCTTACTATGCATTCGTCTTTTCAATTTAAAATGATTATATGATTGGTCAGAAGGGATTAAATTGGCCATTGTTTACTTCATGGTCAAAATTTTAAATGTGACACGACGTGCTATGACAAATCATGCCAGGTCTATAATTAGGCTAAAGCGTTTCTTTAAAGTCGAGTTGTTTGCAGTAAAAGGACTTCACGAGAATGTGTGGGTGTGTGCGTCTACCACTTTAGTTGGTCAAAATATTCACAATCGAAGAGACATGATATGACCAATCACTGCATGCCTGAACTGATTAGAAATAACTTACTTGCCTTCAAGTCACTTTGTACATGTTTGTTTTGTGTTTTGCCTGATCTTTTGTATAACTACTTTGTACTTTTGAATTAATGATAGATTGGTATGCATAGATGTATTGTAATATCATCTTTCAATTGTATTGACTGATTCAGGTCCAGTTTGTACTGTTTTGTTTTGTTTATTGACTGATCTTTGTAGAACTACTTTGTACAGTTCAATTAATGATGTATTTGTATGCATAGTTGTATTGCAATATCATCTTTCAATTGTATGCATACTTTGTACTGTTGAATTAATGATGTATTTTGGTTAACTGTATGCATACTTTGTACTTTGTACATGCACTGTTGGTCAAACGGGCAGAATTGGCCATTCCCTGATATAACAAGTCACTGCAAGTCTATAGCTAGGCTTATGCTTTTCAGGTTCAACTTTTCTTTAAACCTGAGGTTGATTGGACTAAAGGGCTTCACGACTATGACATGATATGATCAATTTCTGCATGTCTATAGGTAGGTATCATCCTTCTTGTTGCAAAGCTGAACTGATTAGAGTTCAATTACCTGCAAACCATAATTTATTTCTTTTACCATGTGAAGCATTATTGAGATATGGTGTCGCCATATCTCTCTATTTAACCAACACAGTTCAAGCGACTAACATCGACAAACTTCAAAACTCTTAAATTCACATACGCAAGAAGTAAACCAAAAATATCAGCTAGTTGTACTAAAGTCCGATGGCTCCTGATTTTGGTGTAATGCAGGGCGACTATCTGTACGACCTACATTGGACACCAAAGTTTGATGAGTTTCTAATCGACTATTTACTTGAAAACAAGTTGTGTGGTATATTTTTTTCCTTTTGCAGATAATAGTGAGTCCATACTTGGTGGTACGAACGCATTCAATGCGTGGTTTTCCAAGAGTTTCACGGTAGAGTACATCGGTACCCGCGTTGGAATGTATGCTAAACGACATGATATCTTCACAGCGTTGAAAGACAAGGATGGTGTTCAATACGACGTCGAGCATAACAAGTACCATGCTTCGGACAAAACTTGGTATCAATTGTTTAATGTGAGTTTTCTTAAATGATTTACATTTCATTTCATACACCAAGGAACGATGGATGTACAAACTAAATTATTTTTTTTTTTATTTTTTTTTTACATAGTGGGATGATTTTGCCATCGCGTACATGACAAAAGGTGATCCACTGCATAACAAAATTGTCGAGTTGTTTCACGTGGAGCCACCGTACGTATCTCCATTCGAGTGGTGTTATATTTCTGACAGCGATACCAAAGACAATAAGAAAAAAGGTAAGGTATATGGCAAAGATGTTGAAGTTATAAATGTTGAGGACTACACTCCAAAGCGTGTGCCACCTAGTAGGTTAGTGTCCTACCCTGTTCGAACGGACATCCCCCGTAAGAAACAACCACCGCGTCCTGCCTTTTATCTGGGTAGCAGTTCGAAGGCCCCTAAACCGAAGCAATCCACACATAGTCAAACCGGGTCTAATGATGGCTCCGTGAATCATCCCAGAAACGACAACTCCACTCACGGTGCACATGAGCCGGAAGAAAATTCTACATCCACTGCATGTTCTGTCAATCCTATGGATTACACACATAATTGGCCATGGAATTAGTCTCGTCACTACATCCTCCCCTTCTATGTTCTTGTTTCAGTGGTGTCTCAGTATGTTAGCTGTTATTGGTTGTTTGTTTAATTTTTATTTACTATTATGTTTGTTATTAACTATTATGTTTGTTTTATGGTTACTGCATGTTTCTTTTGCATGTTCTGTATGTGTTCCACTGCGTCTGTTTTTAGGACCTATGTGTAGCATCTTTAAGGCATAGGCAATTGTGTTTGTATTATGTATTAGGCAAGGTGTTATGTATTAGGCATGGTCTTCTGTATGGTTATGAAGGATTTGGAGGCGTAATCTACGTTTCTTGTTTTATGTACCATTTATGGGTTACGTACCATGTTTAATTAATATACTATGTTATGTAAGAATGAAAAATATGTCATTATAGCCATATTATAAAAGTTACCAGTTAAAACACAAATAAAACATAAAAAATGTCTTAATAAACCTAGAATTATGCTAACACCCACGTCTTACATAATTTCACCCCAAGTACCAATATTCACTACTGAAAAGTGTCCAAAAGTTTGCCGTTCAAATACATGCTACACACAAATTTTGACCACTCTAAACCAAGGATACCTAAACGCAATCAATGTAAAGACCCACTCCGAATCCTCCACAACGTCATTTTCTTCAAAGAAATTACGCATATCGCCATCTTTCAACCGCCTCTTACCATGAGATCGATCTATATGCATCGAATATGTATCCCCCTTGAACATAGCACTGCACGGTCTATCTCAGGAACCTGTCCTTCAACATGTGCGTTCCAAAATTGCATTGGTATTGGCTTTACAACAACAACAAAAAAAAATATTAAATAAGATAACATTTTATTAATTATGCAACAACAATGTTGACGAAAGGTATAATTGTAAAACATGAAAGCATTCACTTACCAAAAGAGCATGCTCCACGTGAGTTTTTTTTTATTTTGATGCTAAACTGGTTTTGTGGAGGCCTCTCTATATCATTACAAGTGTAGACCTTCACATTGAACATTTTGAACTCATCCTGTTCAAAATACAAGTAGTACCCC